CCCCCCCTCCTCCGCAAAAGACGACAGGGGCTCGATCAAGTTTCTGTACGATGCAGCCCATGCTGAGCAGAGGATCCAACGCATCTTTTTCTGTATTGCCTTTTACTCTGACCATCGTGAAAGAGTCTTTTTTTTATTTTATTTTTTTTTCGGGGGGGGGTGTATATATGTGTGGATATGTGTATGTGTGTATGTGTGTATGTGTGTATGTGTTTGTGTGACTCCGAGTGTGGAGAGATGCAGTTATGGAGAGGGGGGGCACACGCGTACACGTTGAACCCCCGATACGGAGACCCTTGTCTTGACGTATCTCTACTGCATATGTGATATGTGTCGGTTGGCAGGACCGTACTCGCCGACCTTGGCATCCTTTTCTTGGTATCACGTCTGGAGAGAGAGGGATGGAAGAACGCACTACGCCGGATGGAGAAATGGTGAGTATATGCACGTGTACATACCCGTACATACGATATACGAGTAGTACTGCAAGCTGTACAGATTGCAAGACGAGTAACGCCGGTTATAGTAGTCTAGCAGCAGTATCGACACATACGAGTATACATGACTCGTACGAAGGTATATATATACGCACCAAGTAATCTGTACGGGAGGTACATGTAGTATCGCAGTATGGAATGATGACGGATATCTATTATATGTAACCGTCAATAATGCCAGGCTTCTCACAAAATCTAAACGCCGTCCATGGAGTGACGATTACCCCGTACAACTTCACTTCTCGGTCAGGACTCTTGCCGGGTATGCATCGTCACCGTCGCGGGATTACGGACTATGCACGCACATGTTGATCTGCAAAGAAAAAAAGACCCTGACGTTGCTTATTGTGCAGATGACCCTCCAGCTGGAAGAAGAAGAGATGATCTGAGCGGGGCAACGACCAGCGCGAGCGCAATCATAACCATAACACACGCACACGCACGCGCACATTCCCACGCCTGCGACAATATAATAACCCTTGATGACGCAGTGTGATGGATGAACGGATATCGATATTTGTACACGATACACGCACAAAGAACCAACAGTTCCTCCCCCCCCCCCACACTTCCTTTTTTTTTTCTCCCTCCCCTGCCAAAAGATACAGAAAACAAAAGCAAACACATCTGACCAACCAAGATCTCGTAAAGGGACCGGCAACCACGGAAAGAATGTGACAATCCAACATATACAACACACACACACACACACACACACACACACATATATATATATACACACACACATATATATACACACACACACATATATATACACACACACACATATATATATACACACACACACATATATATATACACACACACACATATATATATACACCCTATACTCCTTCCCCCACCTCCCTCGGGGATGGAGACATACGACAGGGAAGAACATGGAGAGACTTATCAGACCAAGACCAAATCCCTGAAACACCTCATCCTTGTTTTCTTCTGCCTCTTGGTTTTTACGTCCGATTCATACGCCAGGTGCTATGCCACAGGGTTGCAATGCATCCTTGGGAGTCTTTTTACATGGTGATGTCTTCAATCTCATCAGATCAGTTCCCATCAGGTACAACTCTCACGTACTGTGGTGATATCTTTGGGATAAATCAAGAACATCACAAGTTGAGAAGAAACAGAGAAAAAAAAAAAAAAAGTAATTCACATCAATCGACCAATAAGAAGATGATGATGAAACCCCACAAAGTACACTGCCTTGACAATATCTCGAGGAAAGAAGAAAGAAGAAAAACTCTCTCGGACAGCGAGAACCCTGACACAGGCATATTGACACACACATCAAGATTAAAGAAAAAACGCTAGTTTCTTTCCTGACAGGGTAACGTGTGTGATTGATCAAGAGTGAAGAAGGTGGGCGGTGTAGTTCAGAGTTCTAGATCTCGAAAGAATAGAGAGACGGAAAACAAGAGAGAGTGTGTGTGTGAGAGAGAGAGATAGGTACAGGAAAAAAAAAAGATCAAGGAAAGACAAGGAAAGAAAGGGAGAGAAAAAGAAGGACAGAGAAGAAGAGAGAGAGAAGAAAAAACTAATCCTCCTGGTATGAGATCTTGCGCATCTCTCCTAGTCGGTGTCGAGCTGAAGCAAGGGCATTCTCCAACTGTAGAATCTCCACCTATTGTCAAGTAATCAGATGGTCAGTAAAGAAAAAGTCCTCATCCAATACAGAGTACAACCCTGTCAATCCTCTTCTCCCTTCCTTCCTCGTCACAATAACCGGAAATCGGAAATCGGATAGAGGCAGAGAGAGAGGGAGGGAGGGAGGGAGTGGTGAGCGTCGGCGCCAAGCACAATGAATCAACATCCTTTGCACCGCACCATCTCATCACACCCAAGATCCTTGGCGACGTCTTCTCCACTCCTCCTCCTCCTCCTCTTCGTCTCTGGCCCATACACTACTAACACACACACACACAGACACACACACACACACAGACACACACACACACACGCACGCACGCACGCACGCAGTATTTGGCCYCCCCCCCCCCCCCCTCCTCTTACCCGATCTGGCCTCTTGTTTGTGCTGCGGGGGAAGCAGCAGGGGAGGGAAGGGACAGAGAGAGAGAAGGGGGGGAGAGCATGTCCACATCCGTCAAAGACGGCAACAAACATACGCGCCTGGCACACGAGTCTAACAACTCTCCCCATCTTGTCCTTGCACCTCTCTGCTCTCTGCTTTTCCTTTCTTCTTTTTTTTTCTCTTTCTGATGATCGGCGAGTCCGAGGCCACATGGCACATGTTGGGACGTGGCAAGGACAAAAGTGCCTCACGCCCCCCCTCTCTTTCTCTCTGTGCACTTTGTTGGCCGACATCGTACTCCACCCGCCCATATGGACGTAGACGGAAGCGAGAGGACAGAGGCGGAAAGCAAGAAGACAGAGAGAGTGTGTGCGCGTGTGTGTATGTGTGTGCGCGTGTGTGCGTGTGTGTCTGCAAATCATGTACATCATCATCCATGAGTGACATCATGGATACGTAGCAGAGGAAGACCAAAACGACGGGCAGACAGAGAAGACCTCCCGCAGAGATGAAGGGGAGGAAAAGACAAGAGAGGGAAAAGATGAGGGAGAAAAAAGAAGAAAAAAGTGGTCGGGTTGGGTTGGGGGGGAAACATACCTGCTGCTCCATCTCTCGCACCTTAAACTCATGCGCTCCGAGCTTGGAGTAATCGACCTGCTCGTCGTCCTGGTTGCGCTCCCTGATCATGCTCTGCACCTGCCTGACCAGGGCCCTGCAGGCGGCGCCGACCGCCTTGGACGCCTGCTCCAGCCTCTCCTGGCTCTTGGACATGAAGCCCGCCTTGACGCGCGACGCCGCCACCAGCTGGGCCGTCGACGCCGCCACGTCGTTGGACGCGACGATGAGCTGCTCCGGGCTGTTGCGCCCGGACAGGACGCCGTCGGCCGTCTCGATCAGCGTGTTGGTCGACGTCGCCACCGCCTTGGCCGCCGAGATGAGCCCCTCGGTCCACCGGTTGTTCTTCTTGTAAAAGGCCGTGCGGGACGACGAGCCCCGTCCGGCCTGCACAATCTCCGACTGCGTCGCCGTCGCCGCCTTGATCAGCTCCGCGATCGCGCTCGTGATGGCCAGCGCCGCGTCCAGGATCGAGTCGTGCACCTTGACCTCGTACGTCGAGTAGCCGTCGCGCGGCTTGTTGCGCAGCTTCGCCAGGCGTTCCGCCGCCGCCGCGATGGCGTCGGCCGCCTTGGTCAGCTCGCTGTCCACCAGGTCGCCCAGGTCGCCCTTGTTGTTGGCCAGCTTGCCGAACCCGGGCGCGAACGCCTCGACCAGCTTGTTGAGCTTCTGCAGGTTCATCTGCACGTCGTTGTTGCTGTTGATGACCACGTCCGTCTTCTGGAGCGCCTCCATGCCCTCCAGCCGGAAGCTCTGCAGGCTGCGGAAGAACTGGATCGTCGCCAGCGCAGACTGCCGCGCCCCGCCCATCATCGAGTCCATCTTCTTGTCGTCCGTCGCCAGCCGGCTCAGGCCCTTGGTGTTGCTGCACACGTCCGCCACCGAGCCGGAGAAGACGTTGACCGCCCTGATCAGCTCTCCGTGCGAGCTGTTGGGGCCGTCGGCGATGAAGTTGTTGAACGCCGTCGCAAACTCCATGGCCGACGACGAGGCCTTCTCGATCTGGGACAGCACGTACGACGGCGACGCGTTCTGGTTACCAGCCTGCATCGTAGAGTCCATCTCGTAGAGCCCGTCGTCAACCCGCGCGATACCCGACTGCAGCACAGAGTCGATCATGTCGTTGATCTTGTCCAGGTTGGACAAGATGAGCGCGTCAATCTGTCCGTCGAGCGCGCTGTCCGTGACGCCCTGGTTGTTCTTCAGCTCCTCGAGCTCGATAAGCGTCTGGTCCATGCCAGCCTTGTACACCTCGAGCTCCTCCTCCTTCTCGCGCAGGAGCTGCTCCAGGTCCGCGCTGCCGTCGCGCGCCTTGTAGTGTGCCTCCTCGAGAGCCTTGGACTTGATGCGCAGGGCCTCCTCCAGGTCTGCCATCTCGCGGTTGTACTTGGCCAGCATCGTCGACAGCTCGTTGCCCTTGCTGCGCTCCAGGTTGTCCGCCCGGTCAAGCGCCATCCGGAGCTCGCGCTGCAGCTTCTCCAGCTCGTCCTTGCTGCTGCCGCTCGTCCGGTCCTTCTCGTGCAGGGCACGGTCCCTCTCGCGGATCATGTCCGCCAGCTCCAGGTTCTTGGTCTTGATCTCGCGCTCCAGCTTCTCGCGCTTGTCGATCGCCTCCTGCGCGCTCGCCGCCTTGAGCTGGACCGCCTTGAACTTCTGCAGGAGGTCCAGGTGCTCCGTCCGGAGCTGCGAGTACAGCTTCGCCAGCGACTCGTACTTGCTCCGCCACGTGTTGACCTGCTCCTGCAGCGCCTGGATCTGCTCGTCCTTGCTCCCCATCTGCTGACCCAAGCTGTTCTGGATCTGCGACAGCTCGCCCTCCAGCGCCTTGACCCGCTGGTCGTACTGCTGCAGCATCAGCTGGTCCCGCTCGTACTGAGACCGCGCGTTGAAGTTCTCCTGCTCCAGCTCCGCGAGGCGGCCTTGAGTCTGCCACTGCGCCTGCTGCGACAGCAGTGCCTCCTGCTCCTTCCTCTGCTGCTCCGCCAGCTGGCGCTGCTGCTCCTCAAAGTCACGTTGAGCCTGCAGCTGCGCTTGCTGCTGGGCGAGAATTGCGGCCTTCTGCCGCTCCTCCATCACCCGCTGCTGCTCCTCGTATTCCTTGTTCTGTCTGTCAAGCTCGTTCTTCCAGAACTCGGAGATCTCACCGGGCTCGTCCGTCTTCGGCTCCGGCGTGGGGCTGGGGCGTCGCTCTATCTCCTGCTTGGGTCGCGCAGGGAGTGCGGGCGCCTTGTCGTCTTCGGCCAGCAGGTTCGGAGGGTCGTGCGGGAGCTTCGGGATGTTGATCAGGCTGGTGAGGTATCGGAGGTTGGAGCATTCATAGTAGAACCTGACGAGTCGGTAGTGCTGCGCACCGTACCGCTCGCGCAGAGGCTCCAGAGCCCCGTCATCTCCGGTGACTACGTAGTACCGAAACATTAGCCGTGATTCACATTGAGTCTGTAGGGATGTCCAGATAAGGCCTGTGCCACATACTAGAGTGTAGAGCACGCAACATGCTAGTGATGAACTTGTAGATGCCGTAGCTCTCCTGTACTAGCGGCACCAAAGACGAGATCCTGCATTCGTTGTTTCCAACGTGCCTGAAGTGCGAGAAGATCAACTTCTGGAACTGCTCTATCTTGTCCTGCAGAGCCATGAGGTCGGTGATCGTCTCGTATCCCTCGTTGGGGTCGTTGATGGCCTTCAGGCTTATGTATTCCTCGTACTCGAACGTTCCGTTGAATTCCTTGTGCGCATCGTGAAACGAGAGCTTCGCGAGGATGTAGTAGACGTATTCGTGAATCAGAGGGCCGTAGCCGCGGACGCCCTCGCCGTTAATGCCGCGCCTTAGGCTGTCGATCCAACTACGGTGGGCCATGGCTTCTCTAAGGGCGACAACATGGCCTTCCTGAAGCACCCTGTGAATCGTGATGAGGGCCTTGAACGTTTGCACCTCGTCGGCCATGATGGGCTGCCTGCAATAGTCGTCCTCGTTTAGCGTATGATACATGTGTGTAACAGCAACAGCAATCTCGGCCGGCAGCCGGCACCAACGAGATCAAACATACACTTTAACACCGGCCCAGAAGGCCTGCGACGACTTGTGGTCCCATGTGTACACGATACAAGCACGGACGTGCTTGCGCTTCGGCGATATCTCCTCGCTGTTGGTGGCCTTGCGAATGTTGATGGCAAGCTCCTGGTCGGTCCTAGCAAGCGAGCGGCGCATGTTATTAGCACCATGTCATGTACAGCTCTTGCGCGAGTATGCGAATATGGCGCAGGCGAGGCTCCGCCGGGCAACTCACTTGGTGTGTTCCGAACTCCGAAGGGACGTCATGGCGGCGGCGGCGGCGGCGGCGGCGGGTTCCTGAGACCACAAGTGTCCTGCAGTTCAGGAGCAGCGTTGAAAGGAAGACTGAGCGCCCCGGTCGCAATGGAGAGTAGTAGATTGTCTCGGAACTGGGGAGTCCGTTTGAAGCTGAGGCCCAAAAACAAGAGCACGCCAATATCGTATACTCGAAGAAAATGAGGCAGAATCAAAGAATGCCAGAAAGCTTTCGTCAGCTGTTGACGACACCAAAGCAGGCAATGACCCAGCCACAGTTGATTTGCCTCCCGGTCCTACATCACTGGTGGGTCCGCTCTCCTGGATTGGGCCGCTCATCGGTACATGGAAAAATCCGTTCCGTGTAAGGTCTCGTTGTAGGTCCATCCCCAAACACTCGATTTAAATAGGTATGTATTGACATCAGAACTTTCTAGTAGTAGGTACATGTACTTATAGTGTAGGTAGCATATTCGTAGTTGCCGTTGAGAGGTTGATTGCCCTCAGGTTTTCAAACAAGGATGGTGTAATGTGCAGGTCTGATAGTGCGTTGGTATGCCTCCAGAGAATAACAAGGTGTTGTAGCTGGATGAGTAACCTTCGTGGAGATCAGACTGTGGAAATCTAGAGGTCTATGTGAGCTTCACACATCACGCATATTACTGCCACTATCAACTGCTGACAATAGTATTTCCTCATCACAAGGAGCGAGATAGAGTGCGCATAGTGTGTGGTGGGGGGAGGTGTTGTAGAAAAACTGCCCCTCCACCTCATTCACGCCTTACACATATGCCACCACTTTGGGGGTTTCTTGGAGTTCAGGTACACACTAGGATTAAATCATCAAAAGATATCATGGGTCTTTTTTTGTTTATATTTTCCCTACAGACACCGAAATGCAGACCCTTGCCATGCTCATTTCTTTCCCATTCCGGACTGTAATACCCCAAAGAAAAAAAGACGCGCAAGAACCAGCAACCCATTTTTTGTTTTGTTGTTTTTCCTTCCACACACTCTCTCTCACGCTTTAAATAGTCGTCTCGTAAGGGAGAGGGGTGAGGGTCTCGGGGGGGTTGCTGGTGAGCGAGACGGTGTGAGCCTCACGGGGCTGGGCGGGCTGGCGCTTGACCTCGACGGTGGTGCCGGCGGCGCGGGCCTCCCTCTTCTTCTGAGCGTTCTCCTTAACACGCTTGAGGAAGTCGTCACGGGAGCCCGAAGGCTGGACGTGCTCGATGCGGACGGAAATGCGCTTCTCGATGTAGCGGCCCCAGACCTTCTTGTAGATGATGACGCCGACGGCGGCCTTGGCGACGTTGTAGACGACACCAGTCTTTCCGTGGAAGACCTTGTAGGGCATACCCTTCTGGACGGCACCGTTGACCTTGATATCGACAATGTCACCGACACTATATTATTTCCCAGCTGTCAGTACGCTCTCGTTCTTTTTTTTGTGTACAAACATCTCATTTCCTTGCACGTCGTTTGCTATCGAGATCGGGTTGAGAATTCGAGGGGAAGGGGGAGTTCACTGACCGGTAGGTCTTCAGGTAGGTGCTGAGAGGGATCATACCCTTCTTGCGGAAATCCCGGCTGAAGGCATACTGCAAACGACGAGAAAATGTCAGCAAGGTCGGTCAAACGTGAAATGTGGAAGAAGATCGAGGAGATAGACGTACGCGGGTGCCCGCACGCTTTCCGTAAGAGTGAGGCATGGCGTCTTAATTTGTCGAGGACACCGTGAGAAAGGGTATTTGATGGTTGGTCGTGAGGTTTCAAGAATAGCAGAAGGAGATCCTAACACTTTCGGTGTTGTGGATTTCCGCTGCAGTCAAAGGCTTGTGGGTGCGGATCAAATGATGATCCGGGATTTTTCCCTATAATTTTTCCCGCCGCTTGGTAGGGCACAATGTTGTGAGGGCGGGGCAGCGGGCAAGGTCTTAGGGTTCTCATTTGCGTGAGGCACGTGACATAGTTTGACCGCATCTCCAAAAAAAAAATAACCACCCCCACAACACTTGCTCGAATTTCCTCCGCCTTGTGTGTGTGAGATCTTACCAACCGCCAGACATAATCATCTACGGGAGCAAATAGCCAAGTAAGTGCCAACGCAAACTTATTCCAACCCAAAACACCTGTCTCTTTGTCAAAAGAGAATCAAAGACGACGAGTATTAACGAATTGTTTTCTTCAGCATGCCTCCTCGTGCGCACTCCAAGACCGCGCGTGTCCCCAAGCGCCCCTTCGAGGCTGCTCGTCTGTCAGTATCACCGGCCAATGAACTAGAGCTTGTCTCTGTTTAAGTCGTTTGTGACCGAGAAACTGACCCGAATATATAATCCAGGGACTCTGAGCTGAAGATTGTCGGCGAGTATGGCCTCCGTAACAAGCGTGAGGTCTGGCGTGTCGGGTTGACTCTGTCCAAGATTCGTCGTGCTGCCCGGTATGTTCACACGATAGTTCATATCTTTGTCGAAAAAAAATTCATCACCCAGAGGGATTGCGTAGCTAACTGTTTTGTTTTTTCCCAACCACAGTCAGCTCCTTACCCTCGACGAGAAGGACCCCAAGCGCCTCTTCGAGGGCAACGCCCTCATTCGCCGTCTCGTCCGTGTCGGCGTCCTCGACGAGTCGCGCATGAAGCTCGATTACGTCCTGGCTCTCAAGATCGAGGACTTCCTCGAGCGTCGTCTCCAGACTTGCGTCTACAAGCTCGGTCTCGCCAAGTCGATCCACCACGCCCGCGTCCTGATCCGTCAGCGCCACATCCGCGTCGGCAAGCAGATCGTCAACGTTCCCTCGTTCATGGTCCGTCTCGACTCGCAGAAGCACATTGACTTCTCCCTGACCTCGCCCTTCGGCGGCGGCCGCCCCGGCCGTGTCCGCAGAAAGAAGGCCAAGGCCGCCGAGGGTGGCGAGGATGAGGAGGAGGAGGAGGATGACGAGTAAAGAAACAAAAACAAAATAGCATGTACAGCATATGCGTCAAATGAATTGGTTCTCTTCTAATGACCCGGAACGTCTTTTGGGAGTTGAATGCCATTCACATGGGAAAAGGTGTCTCGTCATAGTCTTTCGGCGTTAGCCAGAGGAATAAATAAAAAAAGGAATGATTTTACCATTCAGCTTTTACAGTAGCACACACCAAACCCAATTAAGACGTATCCAATCGTAACACCCATCAACCACCTTGCCCCGTGAGAACGGTTATACCAATATTACAACACTTAATTCCGTACTCATATCTTGTTTTGGATATGTCAAATACAACTAATATCGTGCCAATGCTTTTGTATATTTATTCAATCAGTTCGTCCTTGCCCAGGAACTTGGCCATTGGATCGTTGGCCGCCGTTCTCTTGCGCCTGTACTCCTCCATCTCCGCCTCAGAGACACCGTTGAGCATCTCTTCCCTGGTGCGCTTTTTGGATGCACCACCGTTAGCATCCTTATCGTCGTCACCAGCAGAATTTTCCTCCTTCTTCTCCTCCTCCTTGTCTCCCTTTTCTTCTTCCTCTGCAGCTGGGGGAGCTTCACCCAGATTGGCTCCTGAGCGCTGCTTCTCTGCCGCCTCCCAGGCTTGCTTGCCTTCTTCGCCCGTACAGTAGCTGTTCTTGACAAACGAGTGGCAGCAAGAGTATCCCCACTTGAAATTCGACCACCAACTTCCCCAGACCGAGGTGTGGTTGTTGATGAGGACGTCCTCGGCGTACTTTGACTTGGCCTTCTTCCTGGGCGCGCCCTTGATCAAGCCAGCCTCGTCGTACTCGACAAAGGATTCCGACTCGGTCACCGTCATGTTTCTCAACGCGGCGGGCATGTCCTTTTGATCCGTGCTGCCGTACTTTTCCAGAAGCTTCCTCTCCCTCTCAGCACGCAGCTTCTCCGTTTGCTCGGCCTCCTTCTTCCTGTAAAACTCGCCTGCCGTAGGGTTGGCCTGTAGGTGCTGTGATGTGTCGCCGCTCCTCTCCTGAGCCTCCCAGGCGTACCGCTGCGCCTTCTCAAAGGCATCAGCGTCGCCTGCGGAGCGCAGAAAGCCCTCCTCGGCGAACAGATCCGCGCTCGTATCCTTGGTCGCGCCGCTGTCGACAAGGGAACGGGTCTTGGGGTCGTATTTCGCCGACTCCAGATCGAGGTTGAGGAGGTACTTGGCTGTATCTTCTCGTATTCGCAGCTGACGTGTGGCTGTGCTCTGGTGCTTGCTCATGTCGTTCTCTTCAGCGTACTTGTCGCCTCCGTCTTCCTCCTCATCGCCGCCGTCATCCGACTTCTGTACTCGCTTCCGTAGTTCTTCCATCTGGTTGAAGTCTTCGACCACGTGACGGTACTCCTTCGTGTCATAGCCGTTCCAGCGATCGCGCTTGGCGTCCCATCCAAGCTTGACGTCCTGGATGACTTCATCTGCCTGGATGTCTTTGCCCGTCCACTTAGCGCCTTTGGCTCTCGGCCGACTGAGGCAGTCCTTGACCTTGTGCGTCATGGCGCCGCAATTCTCGCATGCTCCTTTGCGGAATTTGGTGGCAGCCGGTCCAGCCTTCTTGCCGCGGTCATACCATTGCGACTTCTCCTTCTTCTGCTCTCGGCGCTGATGCTTGAGGTAGTCATTGTCGTCTTCGTCGTCGCCGGCATAAAAGGGACGTTTACTGATGAAAGAGGGGATGTAGATGTTCTCTTCCTTCGTTGCGGGTCCCGTCTCGGGCCTTTTCGTGACCGGCGCAGGCGGAGGAGGAGGAGGAGGAGGCATGATGGCGGTAGTGGACGCGGTGACTATGATTGTTTGCGACAATGATCCTCCTTGGTGCCAAACCAGACACCGGAGAGCACAGACACAGGGTCCTAGGTCTCTCAGACGAGGCGCTATTGTTCACGGGGACAAAAGAAAGATAAGATTCGCGCAACGGGGACGCAGTTTGAGGATTGGGTTGCGTGATGCATCAACAAAAGATTCGTAGGCTCAGAAATGGCAGTGCTAGTGCTATCGAGCAGGTTTGTCGCACGTGACTTCGTGACGTAGAGACACACCCAGGAATGAAGTGCAGTCGCGTCATTGACAAGCACCGTCTCACTCTATCCGCATTAAAAGAATCCTCGTCCTACAAGAACGGTGGCCGGACGGCATCTGGCCCCATGTCTACAGATGGAAAAGCACTATGAAGGACAAGGAGTTGTTCCGGGTCAGGCTGAACTGCATCGATCACTATCAAGCTACAGCGACGCGTTATGACCCCCAGCTTCGCAACGACATCCGGCCCTCCCAAGATTCCAAAGGGCCCAAAGTGCCTGTAATAAGAGTATTTGGATCGACACAAACTGGCCAGAAAGTATGCGCTCACATCCACGGGGCCTTCCCCTACCTGTTTGTGGAGTATGACGGGAGCTTGGCCCCCGAGGATGGTATGTGAACCTCTCAAGAACGTAAGTGGCAGCATCTTCTAATGCCTATCGTGATGATAGTTGGTTTATACATCTACCGCCTTCACATGTCCATCAACCACGCACTTTCCGTGAGCTACAGGAAGGATCAGCATGGCGATGATCCGCAATTTGTAGCCCGAATCACGCTGGTCAAGGGCGTGCCCTTCTACGGCTACCACGTCGGATATCGATTTTTTCTCAAGATATACATGTACAATCCCATCGTCATGACTCGTCTTGCCGACCTCCTTCAGCAGGGCGTCATTATGAAGCAGATCTTTCAACCATATGAAGCCCACTTGCAATACTTGCTGCAGTTCATGATTGACTACAATCTGTACGGATGCGACTATCTCGACTCACGCAAGGTACGCTTCAGGACGCCTGTGCCAGAACCGAACCACGACGGTCTCTCTCCGCATATGTGGCACTCCCAGTCGATATCCCCTGAGCTAGTCACCGACGACCTGTCCTTGCCACGCGTCAGCCACTGCTCTATAGAGGTCGACATTTGCGTTCAGGATATCGTCAACCGAAAGACGGTAAAGGAAAGACCTCTTCACCATGATTTCATCGAACGCAACAACCCCTTGCCCGACGACGCCAAGCTAGTCTCCAGTATGGCAGGGCTGTGGAAGGATGAAGAGAAACGAAGAAAGCGTCAAATGGGTCCCTCAAAAAAGCCCAACAGCAGTCCATTTCCGCCTGAGGCCCTCGTCACAATGTCTGCAGACCCTCGCCAATCGCAACAATCAATGGGCTGGATAAACGAGGAAGAGTACAGAGCCGAGGTCCAGAAACTTGTCGAGGATGAAGAGAAATCCTTGAAAGAGGATGTCACTTTTGATAGTTTCGCAAAGCCAACCGCCGGTCAAGAAACTATCAAAACAGCTCTACAGTCTGTTGAAGACCTCTACCCATCGACTCTTCTGCCGATCCTCGGACTGCCAAATCTTTCACAAGAAGCTTTCGATCTCACTAGCAGTATCGAGGTTGACGAGAAGAACATCACACAGGTTCAAGTTGGCGACGAGGACTTCTTTCAAGATGATTCCGATGAAGAAGAGGCACTTCGGCAATTGGTCGAAGAGAGGTCAACGAAGACCACTAGAGATACACCTGCTCGAGACCCAAAGCTAGCCGCTCAAGATTATGATCCACCTTCACCACTGAGTGACGAAACACCCATTCGAGATCGGGAGTTACCCCTGGGCGTTTGTATCAGCGGACTTCAGACGGGACAAGTTCCGGAAATCCCCATAAACCAGGAGCTTTTAGATGCCGCCGAAGAGGGATGCTATATATTCCCAAAGAGGAAGCCAGGGAAAATAGGTCCAGTTCCCGTATTTTCTCTGAAACGCGCAGCTGAAGGGTCACCCGACAGTCCGGGCATCGCGAAGCGTCCAAAGGTTTCATCTGCGACATCGCCGACACCTGGGCCACCTCCTGGCCAGGATGATATGTCTCTGTCCCAAAAGAAACACTCTGATACTCTTGCCATCAGAAGTCAGTCATCACCAGAGGATTTCCGGTCAGCTCAAAGACCTGGAGATACGCCTAAGCGCGTGTTGGATTTCGCCATTGTCAAGGGACCCAGCCCCAGTGGTGCTAGTCCAAGACCTCGGGGGAGCCAAAAACAGTCATCACAGCCTGATGAAACGCCGACAGGTGCAAAGCAAGTTAGACTTGGACCAACAAGCTCTTTTCTTGGCTCAGACATGGACACCTCATTCGGACCTTTGTCTTCGCCCCATCGCTTAGGTCTAGCAGAGATGGAAAATCAATCACAGCAACTCGTCCGTACAGCGGCCAGCTCTTCGCAGGCCTCGAGGACGTTTGTCTTTGCGGCTCGTCCGCCAAATCCCGCATCCGCCATGGCTTCTCTACGGGATTATAACATACCAGAGGTAATATATCGGGATGCATTCTACAGCGTGGAGAAGGATGTCCCTCCCCAGCCTCGTGAGTACGCCGGACGTGAATTTCGCCTCGAGGGCAACACCGCTCCATTCCTCCCGCCGTTTGATCCCAGTGGAAACTCGCCTGCAACATGGGGTGAAAAAGACCCTGATCGCACATTAGACAAGACGGTATTGCAGGCCGGCCTAAGGCAACAGGTACGGAGCTGCTCCTGGAGGAGCTGGGAGCTGGGTAAACCACCGCCTACATACGATGAGGTGGCTGACTGGTGGAAGGCAGAGCAGAAGAAGGTCATGGAGCGCAAGCAGAAAGGGGTCGGTTATCAAGCAATGCCAAACCGATGGCTATCTCAAATTGACGGTCCAACGCAAAAGAATAAACACGGCTTTGCTTTCTCAGAAAAACAGAAGTCGACAAGCGTTCAACATGAGGTTCAATACATGAGTACGATGAGTGTGGAAATCCACATCAACTCACGAGAAAAACTTGTGCCCGACCCGGAAGAAGACGAGATTCAGTGCATATTCTGGTCATTGAAATCAGACGAAGCGGCTCTGGACAGCCAAGATCCAACAGCGGCAATACAATCAGGCATAGTCGTGCTGTCCGCTGATGGCGTGGTGGCGCGGCGAGTCCAGCAAATGAGCAAAATTCCTGTCATTGAGGAGAACTCAGAGCTGGGCCTCATGGTACGGACGATGGAGATTGTCCGGGAGCATGACCCAGACGTCTTGACTGGGTACGAGGTGCACGGAAGCTCGTGGGGCTACATGATTGAGCGGGCAAAGGTCAAATACGACTACGATCTCTGCGACGAGCTATCGCGCATGAAGAGCCAGTCGCACGGGAAGTTCGGCAAGGCCAATGATAGCTGGGGGTTCACCAATACGTCATCCATCCACATCACGGGGAGGCACATGATCAATATATGGCGTGCTATGCGAGCAGAACTCAACCTCCTCCAGTACACGATGGAGAACGTCGTGTGGCACCTCCTGCATCGAAGAATCCCCCACTACTCGTGGCAGACACTCACGACGTGGTACACCAGCGGCCGACCGCGGGATCTGAATAAGCTGCTAGATTACTACCAAGTGCGCGCGCGCCTCGATATTGAGATACTGGAGGCCAACGAGCTGGTGCCTCGGACGAGTGAGCAGGCCAGACTGCTGGGGGTCGACTTCTTCTCCGTGTTCTCGCGTGGGTCGCAGTTCAAGGTCGAGTCCATCATGTTCAGGATCGCCAAGCCGGAGAATTTCCTGCTCGTGTCGCCCAGCCGTAAGCAGGTCGGCGGGCAGAACGCGCTGGAGTGCCTGCCGCTGGTGATGGAGCCGCAGAGCTCGTTCTACACGAGCCCGGTCCTGGTGCTCGACTTCCAGAGCCTGTACCCGAGCGTCATGATTGCGTACAACTACTGCTACTCGACGTTCCTGGGGCGCATCACCAACTGGCGCGGGACCAGCAAGATGGGCTTCAGCGAGTACAAGCGGCAACAGGGGCTCCTGGCGCTGGTCAAGGACCACATCAACATCGCGCCCAACGGCATGATGTACGTCAAGGCGTCGATGCGCAGGTCCCTGCTGGCCAAGATGCTGACGGAGATATTGGAGACGCGCGTCATGGTCAAGAGCGGGATGAAGAAGGACGGGGACGACAAGCGGCTGCAGCAGCTGCTCAACAACCGGCAGCTGGCGCTCAAGCTTCTGGCCAACGTGACGTACGGGTACACGTCGGCGTCGTTCTCGGGCCGCATGCCGTGCTCCGAGATCGCCGACAGCATCGTGCAGACGGGGCGCGAGACGCTGGAGCGGGCCATCGCCCTGATCCACTCGGTGGAGCGCTGGGGTGCCGAGGTGGTGTACGGTGACACGGACAGCCTGTTTGTGCACCTGAAGGGCAAGACGCGCGAGCAGGCCTTCGACATCGGGATGGAGATGGCCAAGGCGGTGACGGAGGTGAACCCACGGCCGGTCAAGCTCAAGTTCGAAAAGGTGTACCACCCGTGCGTGCTGCTGGCCAAGAAGCGCTACGTCGGGTACAAGTACGAGAGCCGCGAGCAGACGGAGCCCGAGTTCGACGCCAAGGGAATCGAGACGGTGCGCAGGGACGGCACCCCGGCCGAGCAGAAGATCGAGGAGAAGGCCCTGAGGTTGCTCTTCGACACGTCAGACCTCAGCCGCGTCAAGTCGTACTTCCAGCAGCAGTGCGACAAGATTATGCGCGGCGCCGTGTCGGTCCAGGACTTCTGCTTCGCGCGCGAGGTCCGCCTGGGCACCTACTCGGACAAGAGCGCGTCTACGGCCCCGGCAGGCGCCCTCATCAGCACCAGACGCATGCTCCGGGACGCGCGCGCCGAGCCCCAGTACGGCGAGCGCGTGCCCTACGTCGTCGTCACCGGCGCCCCGGGCGCCCGACTCATCGACCGCTGCGTGGCCCCCGAGGATCTGACCGCCAACCCCCACTGGCGCCTAGACGCAGAGTACTACATGACCAAGAACCTCATCCCCCCGCTCGAGCGCATCTTCAACCTCGTCGGGGCAAACGTCCGCTCCTGGTACGACGACATGCCCAAGGTACAGCGCATCATCCGTAATGTCTCCTCCGACCCTCGTCGCAAGACGACCTTGGAATCCTACATGCGCTCAAACCACTGTCTCGTCTGCGCCAGACGTTTCACCTCTCCGTCTCCTTCCTTCGCAGATAGCCGGGACGACAATCTCGAGAATAAAAACAGCATGCTATGCCCCCCCTGCCGCTCGTCGACGGCAAGATCCCTCATCAGCCTGCAGGCCCGTCTATCGACAGAGCAGCGCCGATACCGAGACGTCCTGTCCGTGTGCCGCTCCTGCTCCGGCCTGCCGCCCCTCGACCACGTCTCGTGCGATAGCAAGGACTGCCCCGTCTTCTGGACGCGCACGAAGCAGCTCGCCACTCTGAGGCAGGAGACTGCCGTGACGGAGCCTGTCATTCGAAGTCTAGTCCAGTCTATCGACAGCTCGGCTTTGGAGTGGTGACCTTTCTCTCTCACCCGCTCAGACCTTGCATTGCAAAACTTGCAAATCATAAAAATCATACTGTCACGACTTTGATGAATGATGATTTTTTTTATCTCCTTCAACAGTTCGACATTACACAAACTCACATTGCCCGCAAGGACAACCCATACAACCTAACTCTTTAAAAGCACTACC